TGCAGGCCGAAAGGGACGACAAGACCAGCCTTCCCTTTACGACCAAATCGTGGGGGAAGCGAGCGGAGGTGAGAAATCGTATTAGTCACCCAAATTAGTTGAAAACGGTAAAGCCAACAGCTCCGAAGTGGCAGTCAGCCCCCGGAGGGGATTCCGGCAGTTTCACTTCTGTATACCTGTGCGCTTAAAAGGATTGGGGCTAATTTGACGCCGGTAGTCGGTGAGCGTAACGTAACGCGCTTACGTGACTTTGTAGATCGGACTTTGCAGGGCTCATACTACCTGTGAGGTCTCTAATGATCGTTGTTTTTCTTCTTTTTCTTTTTTTTTTTTTGTTTGGCGTGGGACAAAAATTTTTTTTAGGCATATGCTACGGTTGGGTGAGAGTTGGAGCAACAGTTTTGGACAACATGCAAAGAGAGTTTTTCCTGTTAGGAAGGGTTAATTGTGACGGTTCGTTCAATTATAAAAATTAGGTAAAATAAGTAGAGGGAAATCAAAGTAGATTAATTCAATGTACAACGTAGGGTTAGTACAAAAAATATTTAGATGTGTATTATTTAAATATTATAATATTATAATATTATTTAAAAGACTATTTATATTAAACCTAATACTAGAATATTTTTAATAATGATTAAAAGAATGTACCTCAACATTATCACATGTGATATAGAATTGAAATATTTAAACCAACTATATCTAGTATTTCTTTTGCAACCCGTTGGTACCATCATTATTTTTCAAACGTGTTGATTTTATTGAGAAAGATCTAAAACGTTTCCAGAGTAGGTAAATTGATTTTAATATAATTTTTTAGAGTGTAAGAATGAAAATTGTTTGAACCATTTTTTTAAATTGCTTAAGAACTTGTAATTATTTGATTTATTAATTTGACGAAGTATGCATGTAAAAATAAGTAACAAATATACCTTTAAACATAGGGAAATGTGCATAAGGATTTATCTGTACCCACTTAAATAAAAAATGTTTTTAATCTCTTACGTATTCGTTTGAAAAATTTTTATCATTAAGATTTATGAAAACGGTATTAATTCAATCATTTGAGATACATATAAGCTAAAAAAGATTTCATGAAAAAAAATTAATGTAAAAGTTGTAGCTATTAATTAGAATAGTATTGCTTAAAAATTGCATGTGGTGAAAAAAAAAAAAAAAAAAAAAAATTATGAATCATCGGTACAAAACAAACGAAGCATACTTGAAATTTGGAAAGTATCCCTACACGCGAAAATATTACTCCCTCTTTCTCTCTTTTACCAAGTTTCTTGTACCATATCAACGCGAGAGGAGTTTTAGTTGTTCCTCAGTTGGTAGCAAAGAGGAGTAACAGTGTGCGTGGAAACTCCCTTATTTACAGAGCCATCAGCCCCCTCTTCTTTCATTTCTCCCTTCTACAAGCCATTCTGTCAATGCCTCATTACCCTCCCCTCCTTCAGTAAGGGGATGAATATTGGTGGTGTATAGTTTCGTTGACGAAATAGACTGGCAAGCGAAAAAGAGCCTTATGACCAAGTCTCTGTAAGGTTGAGTATCGCCTGGCAGGCAAAAGAGGGGTAAGTTGTGAATCGATTTGTGGCCTGGCCAATGAGCTGAGCAAGTGGCGCGCTCTCATTGGCCGGCTTCCCCTCCCCGAGGCCACTCCCACCTCGTTAATGCGTGCGTGCGTACAAATTGTCGTGTGTGTATGTGGGACTCCTTTCACTGGATATAGGAATGTGTGTTTAAATTTGAACTAGCCGTGTATGGGAACAATAAGAGTGTCCAAGTATCATTAGGAGGATGAGAAATTTTCTTGTTCGTATCTTTGTGTGTATAAATATTAAGCACAGCTTTAGGAGTTTTTGTTAGGATTCGAGGGCCTGCAAAATTTTTTTCTCTAAAAAATTTTAAAAAGAGGTACAGAAAATTTTGATTTTTTTTACTCAAATTGGCAAACTTCGGTTTTCGGTACAGCGCTATGAGAAAAGATTCTAGCTATTGAGGAGCTCAACAATTTTTTAGTAAACTGTTGTTTGCAACAACATTAAAAAAAAATTTTTTTACAGTACAATTTTGAAAAATGAGGTAGCTAATAGCAAAAATGTTTTTTGCGCTTTATTATAAGTACAACGTCATTACTTATATCAATAGAATATTAAAAAAAAATGAAATCAAAACTCCTGATTAACTATTACTTGAAACAACATCTACTTTTTTTTTTTACACTCTCTATTATTAATAGCCCCACAGTAAGCCTGTGAAGAAAAAAACGTCAAAATCCGGTCCTTTTAATCCGTGTAAAAAATTAATTTGATTATATAGTTATGAACTTAGTATAAAATATCAAGATATTGGACTGCTAATTAATGTCAAACGACAGAAACTAATCTAGAAATTTTTGCACCTTCAAACTACACTATCCCATCTTACGGTCAGTACCTTACTTTCAGCAACTATAGAGGGCCCAATCAAGACTTATCACTGGTGTTCATACCGATGTCAAAATCAACAAGACTCTCCTTACAAACTCTCTGACACCTTATTCTCCTCCTACGTAGGCGTGTGCGTGCATACATTCTTATGAATCTCCCCTCCATTTAATGCCCTCCTCCTTAGCAAAAAAGCAACCCCTAAAAAAGAGAGAGGGTAACGCACAGGCGTGTCGCAACATGCTACGAGTATTTAACGCAGATTCACCTTTCAACTACCCCGCCAGTGGCTCCTAAGCGTAAGCAGCTCGATAGTAGAAATATGTTAGAGTGGGGAGTCAAATATTGGGGTGGGGGGTTCACCGTGCCTTAACTAGGGCTATATGGCCCTAGTCTTTCGTCTCTGTCACCGGGAAAAAAACCGACCAATCGGGTGAATGCGAGCAGGCCACTGTTGCGGCTAGGCTGCTAAGCACAAAGTATAGTAGGCACGACGCCAGCATGCCTACATAGCCATTCCCCCACTCCACTACCAATAACAAGGGGAAGAGGCGTACATCCTAAAGATGGGGTGGGGTTCCCATCAATGGAGGGGCGGCCCCGCCATCCCCTCGAGCTCAAGCCGCGCCAACTAGTATCCCCGCCCCTTTTAGTCTTCTTCTTCGCCCGGTTTGCTCGATCGGGGGAGTATTAGGCGTGCGCGTGCGTGTGCGTACATGACAGCGGCCGGGGGTTCCCCACACGCGCGCGCGCGCCTCAAAACGCGAGAAAGAGGGATAGTCGTGTGAAGAGAAAAAGAATGAGTGGCTGGCTTGCGCTACCCCAACGTGACGCGGTGTCACTGCGCCCGTTCAGTTGCACACGGCCGCGACTACGACACAGACGAGGTCGCGTTGACGAGCGACGACTACGACAGCCGCGCACGCTGCGTTGTCAACGACGCCGCGGAACATTCATTTTCGTCCCTTAATTCGTCAACGACGACGACGACTTGTCATTATTGTTGTTTGGGACACTCGGGGTGTCGGGTCACTTACACCGGATCATTTGGGCTTCTTATCGCATCGAGACTTACATCAGTGACAGTCTGCGCGGCCATTATCAATCGCACGTTTTTTTGTATTCTCAATCCATCAAACGATCTCATCGAATTTTAGTCGTGATAAGGACTTGCAAATTTTTTCGCGCTGTGATAATAGTTGATCAACCAAGCAAGACTCTTTCGTTATGTGTCCCCGTTTGTGACAAACTGCGGTGCTCAGCCGTAAACAGTTCCTTACCCCTTCTTCCGAGCACGGGACCCCCTCGAAACACTTACACAGGAGCTCACACATGGTGTCGAGAAAATAAGGGAGAACAGAAACGGAGAGTGAAGGAAGAAGCAGACCAGCACGCGGACCCTGAAACTCGAGAGCCCCGTTCGTGTGCGTGTTCATGTGCGCGTGTGCGTGGGGCACAATAGAAATTCCGAGCTCGTGCCCACGACTCACTTCTCTCTTTCTCTCACTCCTAATCGCAGCAGCAGTAGCAGATCTGATCGACACAATAAAGAGGCCCAGAAGGACAAAAACAATCTTTCTGTTCGAGCCCTGTCTTTATTGTTTGTTTCTCGTAATCCACCGGTGACGTCACTCTCTCTTCACTGAAGAGTGGAACTCCCCATCGGTGAGAAGTGATTTGGTAACCAAAGCTGGAAACTTAGAAAATACAGGGGACATCAGTTGCTGGGCATACATTAACAGTGCCCGGTAAGAATCTACCGGGCTGGAGGAAAGAAAGGGGTAGTCCGGTCACAACCGCTTTCCGTCGGATCGCAAAAGGGTCTGCGGTTATTGCACCCCACAATTTCCAGTTTGGCCAAGTAACACCGATTTTTGAGGAAAATCTTTCAAACCGTGGACACGAGCTTTTTCCTCCCAAAAAAGCCATATTAAGTGAACATACCACGTGAAGGGAGAGTGAAAAACAAAAAGTTACAAGGCAGCCACGATCCGTCGGACGGCTTTGGTGTAGAGCATAAGGTGAGAGATGACGTGCAGGCCTGGGGCTACACTCGAAATTGCTTAGCAACCGTCTCCTCTTTTTTCTCCTGATCTCGAAAGAGCAGCGACTCCAGCGGTTGCTCTATCCGTCGCTTGATGTGCTATGTGTTTCTGACGTGCTAAAGCTAAAGTAGAGATTTTTCAAAAGTTTCTAAGTGCTTACAACGAACAGGGTTCTAAGGATCCACAGAGGTACTCTTTTCCATAACCCTCGACACCCGGCTGATTGTAGGAGGACATTGAGCGTACTTTGACATTGGATCTGGCTCAGATGTAGACCAACCAACAGAATCGAAGGTAATTTCAATTGTTCATCCCCTTCTTGGCTGGGGAGATATAGTGAGATATCCCGCGTCGCGGAAGCAACAACGACGACGACAATCCTGAATCATCAAAGCGCGGACGTGGTCGACCTGAGCGGAGGATGCAACCGGGCCACGCCGTCTGAGGCATCGCAGGCAACAGCGCGGGCGAGCGCCGCCGTCGCTGCCGTTGCGGCTTACCACCAACAGCAACAGCAGCAGCAGCGCGCCAACGCCGCGAGTAACGCCAAGATGCCCCAGCGCTCGCCCTTTGCCATCCAGGAGTTGCTTGGTCTCAATGGAGCCGGCAACCCCATCGGCTCCGTCACCACAAGTCCCACCAGTCATCACAATAACAACAACAACAACAACAACAGTACGAACAATAACAATAACAACAACAATGTACGGGGTTCACCGCAGAGCTCGCCGCCGGCCGGTATTTCGGCGGTCTCGTACGCCCCGACGGCACCCCACCACAAGCTCTGGGACTACATGGCCCCCTTGACCAATCATCTGGGTAATCTTGGTAACCTCACCCACGCGTCCCGCATGGCGTACCTTAATGCTCAGGCTGCCGTGGCCGCGGCTTTCCTACCACCACCGCATCATCCTCATCCAGCGCATCATGCGGCACATCATCAGATGCAGACGGCTGGACATCTTGGGGCTCAGTCTGGGGCTGGTCTGGGCGTACATCCGGCGGCCCATGCACAGCACATGCTCTCAGGCTCGGGAGTCTCGGCCAATCACCATCAGAGCAGTCCCACGCAACACGGATCGCCTCACGGTAAGGATCTTTGGTTTATATTAAACTTTTTGGCTTGGTTTTACAAATTTGAGTAAGTGTCGTTACCGTAAAGAATGAGTAGAGGTTTATTGATAAGTGTTGTAGCTTAAATAGTTGTTGAACGTCTTACAAATAAATAGATTGTTAGTCCTTAACGTTCGTTAAATAGTTGAGGATGTAGGGTAGATAGGGATGCTAATTCAAAGTATTAGTTACCGTGGTGTAGATGGCATTTATCTGGAACATAATTAACCATATTTTTAAGATATAACTTTTATGCCTCATTACAATTTAAATATGTACGAGAGCTTACCATTGCTCTTGGATGATGAATAGGTTAATTTAGGCACCCCCACGTTATACAACCACATGATACGTTTGACATATCTTACAACACGATGATACTGGTTCATGGATGTCTTGCTTGGAGGGCAGCACTTGTGGATGGAACTACACACACAAGCACAACACCCTACTCATACGTTTGATTTTTTATAATCTACTTTGGATATTTTTCTAAATTCCAGCAGGGTTATCATTATTAACGCTGTACTCTGCTTTTTTTCCAACGTTTAATATTACACTTAAGACATCATTTCATCGATTAAAACACCGTACAAGCCACGAAATAGGAGGAACTACCTTGATTTTCCAACCAATTTAATTTATATGCGAACGTCTTATAGATCCATAAATATATCATAAACCTAGAATTGAGGATGGATTCTCAACGTCAATTTTTCGAATGTCCATTATTGACCAGCAAAGTCTTGCAGCCATGAACCTGGAATTAATCACGCTCAAAAAAGCCTTGCCAGATTTAAAACTTCCTAATACGTCTTTTCTAATATATCAACTGCTCTCAACGACCGTACCTTGACTAACTTCAGTTTCAATTGAAAGAAACTATATACGTATACGGATCAACAGAAAAGTGTGGCCGATAACCGAAGCGATGATAGAATTAGGACGTCAGACGCACGTCTCTATTCCAACAGTAGCAGCAGCAGCCCCAACGTTAACAAGTAAATTAATAGGTGTACTGAGAATGAAAGAAGGGAAGAAAGAGAGAAAAAGAGCCCCGGGGAGCGAAACAAACACTTAATGTGTCTCTCGCTCTCCTTGTGCTTTCGGAATTCCTCCGTGTACCTTATATATACCACGACTACTGCGAAGGTAACGGAGAGCCACTCAAGATCGAGTTACCGAAAATCGATACACTTTTGTGTGCGCTTATTCGGCCTTGTGTATATAAGTGGTGGTATATATATGGTTTAGGTGTGTTGAATAAGGTATACACATGTATATATACGACACGGTTGGAGACGACTACGATAGTGGCACTCTGGAAGAAAGTAAGAGGAGGTTTTTCGGAAGGAATACTCGATTCGAGAAAGTTAGCTATGATTGGGGACCCAGTGCCGGTTCTTTGTCAAGATATTTTTAGAATGTAGATATTGGATGTCGTTGGCTTTTTCAGTGTCGTTTTACTCTGGTAATATTTGATAATACATCGACAATAGACCTGTGCTCAATGGGAGTCGTAAGATTTCTGTATCTCTGGAACATACGTATAAAGACAATGATTAAACCTTTTGTAAGTAACCATCAGGCCAATGAATTTTAATTACGTATTGAGATGTACAGGATTTCTTAGAGTTTGATTGGACAAGGGTTCTGACAGTAAAAATTTTAATTGTAATCCCATGATAAGAAGGTACTGTATCACTCAGAAGAGGTCCTTTTTTTAATTGGAAGGATGCGATGCTATTTTCTTATTATAAAATAAACATATCCACAACCTGAAAGATTTTTTAGTTTTGGTTTAGCAAAACGTATAGAAAACGTGTAAGAATTCAGATTATCGTATGCAAAATTTCATCCTAATTCTTACACATTGAACATTTTTTTCACTTGGGATCGTTTGAGGAGTAAAGTAGCCTTTTTCTAACTGGAATCTAATGGGAAACCAAAATGACTATAAATTTTCGAAAGATTACTTGAGATAGTATTTTCCAATTCATACAATACATACCTTTGCCCTTTTTTCGTATTACAATATCTCGTGTCTTCATCCCCGATTGATGAAAGCTATCTTTATTAATTACCATGTAAATCCAGATGTGCATCATCTATTTTGTATTTTTTATTTTTATCTCTGAACACCAAGTACACATAAGTACTTACTCTTCATGGATACTCTAACATAAATTACACAAAGAAGAAAAAAAATCCATTGCAATTTGACAAAAAATTCAATACGACCACCCAACTCAGCCAGTGACATCAAGTCCCCCACCAGAATCCCCATCCCGCCATACCTTTCCATCCCTATACAATTAATCCATGCACGCATTAACGAGAGAACTCCACCAATGCGCAAATAGTACAGATATCGGGAAACGGAAGATATCCTTCGTCGGATTTCCATCTACCTCTCCCGCGTCATTTCCTCCATTATCGCAGTGGCGTCGTCTCAAGGAAGTCATCGTGCCTCGGCAGCCATCTCTCCACTCTCTCTTCCTCTTCTACTTATTTCTATTCACCTGATTACGACTCGATGGAAATTACGATTCGATCGAACGAAGTACATTGCTTATGGCATGAGACTACAGGTGGTGGGTGCAGATACTTTTAAATATTGGTTAAAGGATTCAGGAAGAAAAATTTGTTGAGAAAAATTAATGGTCATTGTCTTAACGTCTCTCTCCAGATATGGAGAAAAAGAGAGAAGCGAAGAGGGGTCGGTTAGGTGGGACGGAGACTCGAGAGGCAAAATCGAGAGGAAGAAAGTGCGGGAAGACGATAAGTGTACACGTATACCCACACACGTACCCACTTATATCAAGAGGAAGAAAGAGGGAGATGCAGATTTTTCAGCAGAGAACCGCTGTGAATAATTAGTGATATAATGAGCCGAGTGTTGGGGGCGGGAGACCCGTGACGTGTATCCCGCCCAAAGGACAATGGGCGAGGAAACGAGGGGGGTCATTCCCTCTCCCCTGACAAAAAAAACCCCCCAAGAGTAGCTTAATCTTTAGGGTTCTCCTTTCTTCGTCTGCTTTTTCTCTTTCTCTTTTTTTTTCGACCAACTGTCCGGTTTGTTCGCCTTTGGTTGTTTTTTTTTTTTATTTTTTATTTTTAAGCTTGCATTATTTTCACGATCGTAGCTATTGGCAACCAAAAACGTTTTTACCCTTGATGGGCTTTTGGTATACAATTAAATTTGTTGTGTTTGTCAGAAATTTCAGTATTTTATTAATTTATGGTGGTTATTCTTAGATCTTATAATATTGAAATCAAAAGTTATGATTTTTTTAGACTGTGCAATTGAATTCTCGAAGTAGGGTCTGGTAATCAAGCTTTAGAGAATTATTTCCACATTTTATCAATTTACCATGATAATTAAAAACGACTTCTAGTTAAATTGTTTTGTCTTTTTTTGGCACAGAAGTAATATTTCATTTTCCCAAACCCCAATTAATTGAAAAATGAAAAAAAAAAAATAATAATAATAGTTGTCAACATCTACTTTTTTTTTTTACACTCTCTATTATTAATAGCCCCACAGTAAGCCTGTGAAGAAAAAAACGTCAAAATCCGGTCCTTTTAATCCGTGTAAAAAATTAATTTGACAAAAAATCACCGCCCATATTTTCCCGGGGAACGTCACGAGGCGATGATCGACACAGAAAAAAAAATCCACTCAAGTACAACAGAAGAAAAAAAAAAAAAAAAGACCCGACCGAAACCACAACGTGTCCGAAAGAAATGCTCACTGTGAAAAAGACGCAATATAAAAAAAAACCGAAAAAAAAAAAAAAAAAAAAAGGAAAAAGGAAGGAGCCAGATCCTCGTACCTATACATACCACACTCGCTCGTATGCAGTCGTTGGCACGCGGTTGCAAGTAAATTTTTCGAGAGAAGAACGATTCTAGCATACGAGCGCGAGAGTGTCGTGTTACTCCCGCCGAGGGGCACACGACGACCATCAGGAGCTTACATATGTATACGCGCTTTAAATGCGACAATGGCATCCTCGGCCATTCAAACGTCACTCCTCGCCACCTCTCACCACTCACCTCAACTCGCGCGTACACACGCAGGCCAGCGTTCTCCCATTTTTTTCTTTTTTTTTTTCCTCATCCCAAAGCACCTCTCCCTCTCCCTCGTTCCTTCCCCTCTCACCTACCGCCCTTCTTTTTCACCTCATTATATTATTTTGTCTCCAAGACGAGTGTGCTTGTGCTGGGCACCTTCCATACACACCGCAACCAGCTAAACGTTCCGTGGCCGTGGTAGGGGTGCAGGTCACCGTTGTCGGGGTTGTATATATGCGCGTGTAAGGTACAAGGAGACTCTCGGGAGGGGAGGAGTGGCGGGTCTCGGCGATTTCGTCGAAAGCGCGAGCGTAATTAGATCGATCCCCAAGCGCGAAGGCGACGTTTCGGGTGTGTGAGGCGCGAGCTCGAACGAGGCACATTAATTGTACATCGTCAAGTTTCATAAGTGTGTGCATATTATGCGGGTATTTATTGTACGTGCGTGGTGGTTCATTCAGGTGTCTCTCAAAAAGGCGACGTGCGTTTTATTACTAGCGGACCGTATAGCGAGAACGAGGGGGTATACATAAAGGGAGTTTTCTCGCGAGATTTTGAGCCTTTTTTCCATTGGTTAATGATAGTTGGTGTTTTTCGTTTGTCGATTGTCTCATGAGTTTTTTGCTTGACGTGGTTTTTTCTTTCTGTTCGTGAGTTTGGAGGATCAAACATTGAATCAGTTATCGATGAGGAATCAGAGTGTCCTTTGGAATTGGTTTTTTCTCTATTGATTCTCTCTTCAAATTTGGTGAATTTCAATTCGTGATCAGCTGAGGAACGAGTTTACAAAATATCAGTCCGATTCATTGTGTCTCACTAGTAGTTTGGTTTTGATGAACGAGTTTTGTACCACTACATTCGAAATTGTAAACAGTAACAAAGCCATACTTTTGTCATTT